TGTAAGATAAGCTCAGAGTAACGAGGAAGAAAAAAAACACAAATTAACTTTTCATTCTAAAGTTACTAAATCACGCCCCTGGCTCGAAAGGAGCTGAGCCTGTTAAAGACGAGAAAAAAAAAAGTTAAGTAACGCAAAATGGCGGACAGAATGACAGATCGTTTACAGCCAAACAAAATGTCGCGCGATGTTGGAAGATGTTTAACAAAGTCTGAAAACATTTGTTAAAATTTTAATCATAATGAATTAATTCTGTTCGGTGTTTAATATTGAAAGTTATTAATAAATTACGTAATTATGTTTTTCAGTTAGCATTTAGATCAGCGGGGGTTTTGTTATTGTTAAAAGTAAGTTATTTTAATATTACTAGTGAATTATTCAGTGATTAGTTAATTATTTAGTAATTATATCAGTCTGTTTTCTCAAAAAATTTAATTCTTTTACGAAAGCCCAGAAGTATTTGTTTTTTTTGAAACTTGAATCTTTTTAATTTTCAATAAAATTAAATCTAAATGACGCATATACAATTTCAAATGGAAATATTTAGTCCATCAATGGAAAATATATAGGTACGACATGACACTGAGAGGTACTTGTAACAGAACTCGAAGAACTTGAAGTTGTCGTGGCCTAGAGATCCTCCCGATCCATTAACGGTACTTTTAAGTACCACAAGCACCGGTCACCGTCCTCGTCGAACCCGTCGCTTGCGACGAAGGGCTCGCCGAGTGAATTAACCCATAGACACAGCCCACTGAGTTTCCCGCCAGATCTTCTCAGTGGGTCGTGTTTCCGATCCGGTGGTAGATTCTACGAAGCACTACTCTTTCTAGGGCCAGTGTTAGCAACACTCCCGGTTAGAGCCACGTGAGCTCACCTACACATCAAGGAGAAGCTGAAATAGCCTCTCAAGGCTATCAGCATAGGTAGGGTAAAAAAGTCGTTATTTAAGCCGATATTTCAATGCAACTAATAGATTAAGACTGCATAAGCGTAACGTCCATTTAAAAACACATCGAGCCCAGAAACCGTGTACAAAGCTGAATTTAAAAAAAAAACTGATATAACAAACAAGAGAATAAAAACAAACGGATCTAACAAAGGCCGCCCGAAAACCGTCGAAGCGTCATGTCAAACAACTCCACAGAATACACCCTAATTTGTTACCGTACACCACTAGTTTACCCCATTTACGGCCGTTTATGCCCCTTGTAGGACAGATAAGAGGGTTTCAGCGACTGTCCCGCCTGATTAGACGGGTAATGATGTTTCTCCCGGCATTAAACGGATAGACTCGACGTTGCTCAGGGATTCGTTGGATTTTCGCGGTCTTTTCCCGTTCATCTTTTAGTTTATTTTGCGTAGAATAGAAGGTAGTCGATGCGGAAAATTAACGCGATTTTTTCAATTATTATACGTCTAAATAAAACCGTTAATGCTAACCTTTAAATACATACATTTAAAGTAACTTTTTTATCGTCGTTATATTAAGCTAACTGAGAACTAACATTTGGATCAACATTTAAAATGTCTACCAACGCGAACACAGGGAAGTATTCGATATGTCAGAAATAATATAACAACTATAATAAAGTAAAAGTACATTTATATATTAATACGTGAAGGAAAAACTTTGTATCCCTTTTTACGAAAATTGCGCAGACGGAGGAGTATAAAATTTTCCACACTTATAGAGAATATAGAGAAGAAGTGCACAATGCTAATATTTTTTTTAAATAATGCATAAAAGATACATTAAACCAATAAAGAAAACATTTCACACACTACATACCATGTATTTGACGCACACACGTATGCATACTATTTATTGTCAAACTTTTGTTCTTGACGTCTGTGGTCAAATTGAGAATAGATTAAATAGTGTTTGTCTTTATTAATATTTTTCCATAGTGTATTTTAAAGAAGTATAATAGTCTTTAAAAATGGAATCATAGTAGTGTACAAATTTACAATTTCAATTAATTATAGTCGAATTTCGACTACTGCGGGACCACTAATTTATTTAGATCCACGACGCGCGAAAACTGGAAAAAAAACCTACAGGAAAGATATATTAGCTATATATATTTTATGAGCTAGTGTTAGTAAGTCTACCTGCCTATTTATACCACGATAAATATCTTTATTTCACCCTGTAGATGCGCTATAATGGTCTGAGCCTTGCGATTGCCTTTTTAAGACGGTTTTATTAGCTTGAATTTTTCGATTATTTCTATGTTTTTTTATTGTTTGGGCTGAAGATTTTCTACCATCTGCGTACGTAGGGTTTTGGAATACTTTGGCCACATTGCCAGAAATGTTGACGGCAACTTGGAGAAGATGATGGTGACTGGTAAAGTGGCTGGAAAAAACCACGAGGTAGAGGTCCGATGCATTGGACTGACCAGATCCGCACTACTCACGACACCACAGTTCACGATGCTCTACACTCGGCGGCAGATATGAGCAAAGGGTGTAGAGTGATTCACAAAAAAATATTGTTGCGAGTAGCTGGTCACGATTCTCGGCATTGAGGAAACCGAAGCGAGTAGGAGGAGAGGAAATGGGCTGGAGAATCCACTACCCACCTGCTGGTATTTGGCTACCGAAGCCCATATCGTGAATGAGGTCACCCAACTTGAGACATGAGTTCCAAGTCTCAGTTCTATAGTACAGCGGCTGCCCTGCCCTTCAAAATGGAAGGCATTACTGCTTCACGGCAGAAATGACCAGGGTGGTGGTACCTACCCGTGTGAACTCACATAACGCCCTAACACTAGTATGCAGCTAAATATTTCAACGTATGTTTCTCGAGTTTCAAGACGAGCAACTTGAAAAATTCCACGCGTATCAAAGACTGTTAATAATACAATACGTAAATACTTTGACCTTTTGTCCTGAGTACGATAAAAAGTATATAAATTATATAAGAATTCGACTTGTAATTAAGGTGGGTTTTTTGCCTGTTTCATAAGTATACTTTTCGCTATACCTCATTCAATACAGGTCGTATAAAATGGAAATCTATTATGCTTGATAACGAAGTTGAAACTTTAGTGAAGAACAAACGAAAGCTCAAGTTTCACGAGCGGCTGATAGCTTGATGAATATTACCACAAAGTTTCATTACATAGTTAGTGAGGCTGGGCTTAAAGCGATCTCTTTATGGTGCTGCGCTTACATTCACATTATAATAAAGCACTAATAAATACCAGTTGCTGTAACTAGTGCTGAATGTGAGAAACAGAGCGCTTTTAGATAATGCCCCAAATATAATTCGTTTATCTGGAAGACAAACGATGCAAAGTATAGTAATGGCTAAACGACTGGTGGTAGAATCTCTTGTGAGTCCGGACGGGTAAGTACCACCACCCTGCCTATTTCTGCCGTGAAGCAGTAATGCGTTTCGGTTTGAAGGGTGGGGCAGCCGTTGTAACTATACTTGAGACCTTAGAACTTATATCTCAAAGTGGGTGGCGCATTTACGTTGTAGATCTCTATGTGCTCCAGTAACCAGGTGGGCTGTGAGTCTGTCCACCCAGAAAAGCAAAGCAATAAAAATAAAAAAACCGAGAAACAAAGAGCCCATAACAGGTCCTCGGTTTCCGCAACCATAATCATTATTATCATGTAGTTATGTACTACATTAGCTGAGACCATTTCTCGTACATAAGATATGTCGAAGTCGTCGTAATCTAAATGATAAGACACCCGGTGCATTCGTATCGAGCGATGCGGCTGTTCCGGTTTTCGAATCCCGCAGACGGGTACATACGTAACATTTTTTGCCTATTTCTACCGCGAACCCGTTATGCAGTCCTATTTGAAGCATTACAACAATAGCCACGCTGGAGAGGAAGAGGTAGATCTAAGAAAAAATGGATGAATTGCGTGAAAGACGATATGTGTAAGAAAGAAGTGAGCGAAGAAATGGTATATGATAGAGGAGTATGGAAGGAGAAAACATGTTGCGCCGGTCACACGTGACTGGGAGAAGGGCAGGAGAATGATGACAACAGCCACGCATAGTCTTTGAAACTTAGACCTTACCTAAAAATTATTAAATTTTAATTTTGGAAGTCTTCTTTCGTCCAAACAATCTCGAACAACGCTCATCTTAATAGTGACTCGCATTCAAGTGAATCAGTACAAGGAAATGACCCAGTGGTTCGCCTTCAAGCGATAGCGTCTAAGTAAAGGCAGCATAGATTAAGTTGAACTAATGGGCGGGCGGTGCGGTCGTAGCCGATCGATTCCGGACATTATTCCACCGCAACGGTTACCTCAAGTGGACGAGCAATGGACTGCGAACCGGATAATCATTTACGTCGGCAAATTTAGCTTTTAAAAAACTTTTATTTTTAACTAGCTGACCCGGCAGACTGGTGCCTCAATCGATAAATAAAAGACGTAAACTTTTGTATAAAATAAATTTAAAACAAATGATGCATTATTTTTGCGGTAATACCTTAAAAATCCATCCAATAATTTTTGCGTGAAAGAGTAACAAACATACATCCATTCTTACAAACTTTCACATTTATAATACTAGTAAGATAAAGCGATGATGATAAGACACCCGTTTTAAAGGTACGCGAACTAAAATAGCGATTTTCAATATCGCGACGTATCTATCTAATATTATATAATATATAAGAATGAATTGCTGTTGGTTAGTCTCGCTAAAACTCGAGAACGGCCGAACCGATTTGGCTAATTTTGGTCTTGAATTATTTGTGGAAGTCCAGAGAAGGTTTAAAAGGTAGATAAATATGAAAATGCTCGGAATTAAATTTAAATAACAATTTTGGTTTTTCCTTTGATGTGTCTCCCGACGGACGGATTCCTTTTGTTTGTTTTAAGTTTAGTTTTATACAAAAGTTTAGGTCTTTTATTTATCGATTGAGGCACTACGAAGTATGCCAGGTCAGCTCGTCAAAAATTACAGTTCCCGAAGCGAAGCAAGGGCGGGTCGCTAATTAAATATACAACTTACTTACCTAGATAGCATAGCGTCATTGGCGTTCCCAAAATGATGAGCAGCCAGTGCCGATTCCAGAACATTCGATTCCCTTCTAGGCTCGGAACGGTTCAAGATCGAACTAATGGAAAAACTGGTGTACGGAGCACTCCCGGTAGCCTTCTCTTCTTTGTCCTTCTTTAGCTCGTAATAAGGACTCTTCTGTTCTCTTGTTGGGGAGGAGGTGATGTCGGGCGTGCTCGCTCCGGAGACCACGTTGACCTCTATGTCGCGTTCGTCTTGAGAGGACACCGGCGAATCCATTGTGGAGCTCAAATCTTCATTGTACGAGAACCTGCGATAGATTTAATTGTTATACTGAAGATAGGAAACACATTTAAGGACTCTATTTGGTTAAAAGAGAGAGAGCGAGAGAGAGAGAGAGAGAGAGAGAGAGAGAGAGAGAGAGAGAGAGAGAGAAAACATATTTTATTGCACACCAAAACACAATTAACATTAGAAAAACATTCAACAAGCAGATACATTAGACTTGAGGTCAGCGTCTCAAATGCATAGCTGATTAGAAAAATTATAGTTTTCTCTTACACGGTGTTTCCGACATCGGATAAGTTATTCGTAAATATGACATAAGCTCGTATTTAAAAAATTTGGTTTGGGCAACACAATTTCAGAGGCATGGCAACATTCATGTTTTGATGTCTATGGGTTCTAGTATAGATATAGCATTAGGCAAAGGCTTGAGTTTCGTCTGCTTAAAATAAAACTTTTAAACACTCTGAACTGTATCTGGTCTCAGAGGATAAACCTTATTACCGAGCTGAGTGTTCATCACAATAAGCTTTATTATTACAAAAAACAACAACCTTATAATAGATATTTTTTTCAAGTCAATTCGAAAATACGATTACTTAAGGTATAAGAAAAAAATCCTGAAGATTTAGAAACCGAATGATTCTTTATTTATAATTCAGAGCGTAGGCAATAAGGGTAGGCGGAACCCTCCTAATATTAGCTTAATGCCCCTGGGACACCCCTAAATAAGCCTTAGAACAATAAAGCACTTTAATGTACTGAATTATAAATAATATTAACCGTCTTAGACGTTATACGGGATTTTGTAAATAGATTCGAAAGATTTTTTGCGGTCGGCACTATTAATGCGTGTTTACTGGGTTTTATTTGTAACTCAACATTGGGAAATGAGATCGAAGTGTTATTCAAGGAGTTTTTGAAGGGATGTGAGGAACGGACTTGTGTGAATTGGTTTTGCTAATTTATTTGTTTAACTTAATGCACAGAAGTACAATGGCGGACTTTTTTTATCCTACCTATGCTGATAGCCTTGAGAGGCTATTTCAGCTTCACCCTAACGTTTGTAGGTGAGCTCGCGGGGCTCAACCGGAGAGTTGCTAACACTGACCCTAGCAAGAGCAGTGCTTCGCAGAATCTACCACCGGATCGGAAACGCGACCCACTGAGAAGATCCGGCGAGAAACTCAGTGGGCTGTGTCTATGGGTTAGTTCGCTCGTCGAGCCCTTCGTCGCAAGCGACGGGTTCGACGAGGACGGTGACCGGTACGGTGGCGGACTTAATGCCCGAGGCATTCTCTACCAGTCAACCATTTAAATCAATTTAGTGATTCAGGTTTAAATGTGTAACAACTGTGGCTTATTAACTAATTCGTTTCTCTAGCATAGGACCTAGATAGGACTTTTCGCAACCTAACTCATTGATTCGGCCCTTGTTAATAAATTCATAAAAGCTCAGCCCGCAAACGCAAACAACATAGATTTTAAAACAGCCATTGGCAATGTCGGTCGACACTGATCATCGTGTTACGATAAACGCTAGCCACCGTTTCATTTTGTGGTCGATGTTCACATTATCTGTATTTTTCAATTTAAAATTTTGCCTGTAACAGTGACAATGCGATGATCATACGTAATAAATAATACGGAATGTAATTAAATATGTTTATACGATTTAATCTCGCGTGTGTGTGTTTTTTTATTGCTTAGGTGGGTGGACGAGCTCACGGCCCGCCCGATGATAAATGGTTACTGGAGCCCGTAGACATCTATAACGTAAATGCTGCCACCCATGACGAAATATGAGTTCTAAGGTCTCAGTTTTTACAGTACAACGACTGCCGCGTACTGCAAACTGAAACGCATTACTGCTTCACGGCAGAAATAGGCAGCGTGGTGGTACCTACCCGTGCGGACTCACAAGAGGTCCTACCATCAGTAAAGTAGATAAAATTTTATATTTAACTAGCTGACCCGGCAGACTTCGTAGTGCCTCAATCGATAAATAAAATACCTAAACATTTGTATAAAATAAACTTAAAACAAACAAAAGGAATCCATCCGACGGGGGACACATTAAAAGAGAAACAAATTTTTTATTATATTTTTATTTAATTCTGAGCACTTTCATATTTATCTTTTAAACTTTCTCCGGACTTCCACAAATAATTCAAGACCAAAATTAGCCAAATCGGTCCAGCCGTTCTCAAGTTTTAGCGAGACTAACGAACAGCAATTCATTTTTATATAAGTATATTTAATTAACGGAAATGTATAGTTGATGGGCGATTTGTCGCGACCCCGTCGATAAAACCTCGATTTTTACGCGCACGTCCGACTCCATAGCGATGTATGATAAGCAAGTGTGTTATGAAAGTAATTAAAATAATATTTGACGTGTGCTTCCTCAATTAAACTATTTATTTATGAAACTGCACCATATTCGCTTCGCTTTCCACCGGTTTATGAAGAGAGTATTAAATAAAAAAAATAAACAAAAAAAAATACCTGGTTAAAAAGTTTTACCACACGCTTTTACTGGTGGTAGGACGTCTTGTGAATCCGCACGGGTAGGTACCACCACCCCGCCTATTTTTGTCGTGAAGCAGTAATGCGTTTCGGTTTGAAAGGTAAGACAACCGTTGTATTGTAAAACTGAGACTTTAGAACTCATGTCTCAAGTTGCGTGGCGTCATTTACGTTGTCAATGTCTATGGGCTTCGGTAACCACTTAACACCAGGTGGGCCGTGAGCCCATCCATCTATCTAAGCAATAATAAAGAAACGGCTTAAGTTATTGAACAACAAATACAGGATGGTGTTTATATTAGTAGGGTATCACCAACAGTTTTTCTTGTAAAGTTTCTAACAGAGGACTAATTCTAATTGCGGTTAATAAGACTTGCGTAATCTCTATATATAAAAATGAATTGCTGCTCGTTAGTCCCGCTAAAACTCGAGAACGGCTGAACCGATTTGGCTAATTTTGGTCTTGAATTATTTGTGGAAGTCCAGAGAAGGTTTACAAGGTAGATAAATATGAAAATTCTCGGAATTAAATAAAAAATAACAATTTTGTTTTTCCTTCGATGTGTCCCCCGTCAGTCTTTTATCTATCGTTTGAGGCACTACGAAGTCTGCCGGGTCAGCTAGTAATAAATATAAACAGCATTGACTGACTAGCACGCGATTTGATCAGACCTTTTTATTTAAGGTTACAAATATGAAACTAAACATAATATTTAAGAATTAATGTTTTGAATGATCGTTTAAGAATATGTACCTAGATGAAAAATATGCTTTTTTCTCTTTTGTATACGAACTATCTTTTGCAAAGTAAGAAGCTTAAATGAGGCCATCAGCGCGAAAGTGCCCTAACCCACTTTTTTTTATATTTTAGCTTATATGACGTATATTGGAATAAATTTAAAATATAAATTTTTTTTATGCAAAGCCAGCCTACCCATAGTTTCATCCGTAGATAGATTTCCCGCTGAGTTTCTTGCCAATTCTTCTCAGGACGGAGGCTAGATCTTGTGAATTGGCGGTAGTTCTTTTGACGTTCAACAAGTATGTACTTTCATTTATGTTGAATAAAAATTTTTTGATTTTGATTATATGATTTTGATAACAGATAGCTTTGTAAGCATTATTTTTGCGCGGATTGTTTTTTTTTGCTTACTCAAATTCAAATTCATAAAAATTCAAACCTAACTGCCTCCATACACTAACTATGATAAGCTTAGGCCACTTTTGCGCTGACGGCCTCAAATATTGTCGAAATTATGTCAAAACAATGTGCAGCCATCTAAGTCCTACTAGTGGCCCCGCAGTAGTCGAGATTCGACTATAATTAACGAAATTATAAGTTTAAAGATTATTATGGTTCTATTGTCAAACACTATTATATTTCGATAATATAATCACAGTATTCGCCAAAACTGCACTATAGATCAATAATATTAAAGACAAACAATATTAATATATTTTAAATTCGACCAGAGACTTTAAACAATAACAAAAGTTTCCCATTTGACAGTAAACAAAGAGTATATTTTTATGTATGTGTAGTGTCAAATACATGGTAGTGTGTGTAATGTTTTCTTTATTGATTTAAAGTATCTTTTATGCATTATTTAAAAAAAAAATAGCATTGTCCACTCCTTCTCTATATTCTCTATAAGTGTGAGAAATTTCATACTCCTCCGTTCGCGCAATTTTCGTAAAAAGGGGTACAAAGTTTTTGGTTCACGTATCAATATATAGATATAATCGAATACGTAAGTAAGAATTCGTGATAAATGCGAATCGTCTCGTAGGGCGACACTAAGTCTCCGATGTCCGACAGTCTACACGAAATAAACAAACACGAGTCATTTTATAATTACCTAAGCGCTTAACTCATTGCGACGACTCAGTCTAGACCAAGTCTGGCTCAGTGAGCGAGTCACTCGGAAAACATTCCAAAACATAAACTCATTAAGAATCAATTTCTTCTTCTTCTTCTTAGTCGCATACTTCATTGCTGCAGGTCGTGTCCCTGAAAGCCCTTCGTGGCTCTTTGTACCATCAGCTTCCATCCTTCGGTTTTCGGCTTCTCTGTCGCAACATAGAGTCCAGTAAGCGCAGTTATCTGACCTGACGGCTTAGTGGCCAGCCGGCGGGTCTTTTCCCTTCTACCTTGCCCACCACAGTAAATTTTTCAAAGTTGTCTTGTGGCCGCCCAGCAATGTGACCAAAGTAACCAAGAATCTCCTGGTAACAAATGGTCGACAGTCTCGTTTCTATGCGAAGTTGCTCGAGAACAGATTTGTTTGTTCTATAAGAATCTATAGTGCTTATAAAGTATGCTGCAGGATAATCGTCTCCGATGGTGCGGCCGCATAAGCCGCAGGCCTCTAGGCTATGCCGGAAAAAAATGCCACAGATACGTACCAGGTCCAAGATTCCGGTGTACCTAGACCCAACGCTGGTTGGATGTGGTAAAGGCGGAT